CAAGCAGTTTTACATCTTATGAATCAGGAATATCCGTACCGTTCCTCTAGTTTAATCTTAATGCGCATAAATCCTCATAAATAAAGCGATCGGCTATTAAACCGTATTGGTAGCGCAAGTTGCTCGCGTATAATGTCAAGTTGCTCGCGTATTATATCAAGTTGCTCGCGTATTATCTCCCTAATTGCCCCGGACGTCGTCATTCATTGCCCCGGTCGGTTCGCTCAGAACTTCGACCGTTCCACGGATAGACGACTCGATTCCGATCCCGATACGGTATCTGCAAATTACGAATCACCTACCGACAGCGCTCGGATTTTGCAAAATTAAATGTGACGTATCATGATGATAAAATAAAAACACTTTTATAGGAAACATTTTTATCTCAAATAGGTATTTTAACTTTGTTTTTTATTTTTATACACAACCAGTAAGCCTTGGCCTGTATCTCACCTGATAGAAAGTGATGAGCAAGCTGAGGGTGAAAGCAAGCTTCCCCGGAATCCTCAACTTACCTTTATCTGCCAGAATACAACATTGTCGTTACGGCGACAGACTTAGGTAAGATTGGGGTTGCTATCCAGACGGACTTAGAACAAGCCCTACCACTAACAAAAATTTTGTTCTCACTGGGAATCGAACCTGGGACCTCTGGGTTTTATCAAACTATACGATACTTTAATAAACAATGGGGCAAATAGCAAAGTAACTAGTGTAGGGGCTAGAAATTTAGGCACGCTTAAGTAGGCACTTTGAAACTTATTGACTAGGTATCGGTATCACAAATACCACGGCAATGGCTAGTCATATAATAATATCAGTTTTCCCAAGATTACGTAAACGGTTTACGGTCATTCAGTTTTACGACATCCATAAACTACAACCTGAACCAATGCAAAGCAACAATGCTCCAAGACAAAACGCACTTTACATTACGAGGCTACATGAGGAATACCTACAACGTGATCTACTCGAGACTGAATAAAATATGCTAATTTCTATATATTATAAACACACGTAGTTTTATGTGTTTACGTTAATAGGTTTTGAGTTAGAGAAGGGTCAAAAGTGGCACCAAGTGGTTATTATATTACACTCGGCGCTGGCTACTAGCCAGAAAAGGAACTGGCTAGCCAGTTCCTTTACTTGAACCTGAGAGTATTTTTCCACGCAAAGTTACAAGTCCACACAGCTTGACCGCAATCTGTGGAGGAACACTATGTGGTCGCGATCCTCATCAGTGAGGGACCGAGGAAGAAGAAGAAGAAGTTTTAAGTAAAATATTTCTACATAAAGTGGCATAACACTGGTCACAAAAATTAGGGAAATAGCCAATATTACGACAATGAGTACTCGGTATTTGAACACTCTGGAGGAGTAGTCTTGGCTGACAATAATATTATATCATTTTAGTTCAGTATCTTTATACTTAACCCTTAACCAACCAGGGGTCTCTCAGACTCCGGTGAATTTGTTACTTGTAACTAGTCGCATGTAGAGTTTATTCTTTTTTTGACAAATGACAAAAATTGTTTACGCCTTTAAATATTTTTGGTTTAGAACGAGTCTGAGAGACTTCAGGTGGTTATGTGGCTGAAACAAGAGGTAGGGCTGGCTCCCCGTTTCTATACCCAAGCCCTAAATAAATAGGTTTTTGGAACTGTATTTGAATTTACTCATTTTACTAATGTCATCAATAGCATAAAACTACATAAATGCAGATACCTACAACATTTCCAAAAAGGCTAGTTTCCTAAAAAAAATTTTTTAGTCCGTCATGTTTAATATCAAAAAATATTGGACACATATATTTTTATTTGTCAATCTAACAAATAATTACATAGTTATGGTGCGTTGAAGTTCCGCACGACGTCACAACGTGCGGCACTTTTATGCACGCATTGACGTCACGGGCCTCTTCTTATGAACGTTGGCGCGCTTTATCTCTTTATATTTTCATTAGTTTGAAAAAGTGAAAAATACGTGTAGAGTATTTTTTGATAAGTTAACTGACGGACTAATTAAAACTCTTGCTTTTTGACCCAGGAAACATCCCTATTAGTCAATAAACAGTCACAAGTTGAGTTTAACATTTTTTTGAAAATGTTAAAAGAACTTCATTTACCTAATAGTAGATAGATACCTATAAAATAAAAAGTCTAATTTCGTTATCTACAAGATCTCAGAAACATTTTCTGCCTTTCATTTGCTTTATTTACTTAGCGTATTACTTCGAAAATAAAACCTTTGAATGTACCGAGAAACCTGTTAAAGTTAAAGCATTCTATGAATTGGTCATTAAATCCTTAAATCCTTATAAAATCAAAGACAAGCACCTAATTGCATTGAAGAAAAAAATTGAAAACTATGAATATTATAATACTTAATTTAAAAATAAATGCAAAACATTATGGTGTAAACTCCTTTGCATCTTTTGGTGATATTTTTTTTAAACCTGCAAAAGTAAGAAAAAAGACTTAAATGACTAAAACCTCTTCGGAACAAGCTCGTAGTGATAGTAGAAATTCCCTAGTTTCCAGCCGTTCTTGGGAACTAATGTATTACTAGCACTTAAATAAATTACATTACAGACCAATAAAAACATAAAAAATCATATGCCTCGTCTTATTAGTTGAGGCAGCGCGCGTTTTTTTTTTCTTTGCTATTGAGAATGACTAAACCAGTTTTGTATAACGTTCATTGACTTTGACTTTGGTACAGGTTATGCTAAAATTGTAATAGAGTTTATCCAATAGTTAATTGGTTTTGTATCTAGGTGCTAATTGTGAGTAACTTGAATGTAGATTTTTCAACCTTTGGTTGAATTGGTTGTTTCGTTCCAGAGTTTTCGCGCAAGATTTTTTTGTTTGTTTGTTTCAAACCAATAACAGTGAGTTTTCGCTACGTAGGTACCTACTACGAGCAAACTTGGAATACTAGGTATTTTTTGTGAATTCACTTATGTGAATTCGTACGTTTGATAACAACATTACCTAGTGCTTAAATTAACTTTATATTAATTAAAATTCGTGGTGTTTACATACATGTTCCCAATGGCATTTTCCATTTTATTTGTTNCAGGGTTGCTACCCCATACCGTCCGGCACACTAACTACCTACCTATTTCCTAACTTTCAATATGATCAGATCATATTCGTTAGATAAACGGTACAAAGATATTGCCCTGCCTTTATTTCTACTGATAGAATTCAAATTAATAAATTTTACGATAATCGTGTCAATCCGTCATCATACGTCACCATTATTTAATAGTGACGTCACAGAATAACCACATTACATTATTCTGTGACATCACTATTAAAAACGTAGCCCACTTTCGTTCGCCAATAGGATTTATTTGCTGATGCACCACTCCTTTAAACTCATTGACGTCATGGGGTCTTTGCATTACTAAAATCAATTGCCTCTGATTTACCTTGCAAACATTTCCTGTAAAAAATTGCTAGCAGTGATTAATAATAGTATTATCTAAATCTACTATTTTCCTGCTATTCAAGCGTACGCTTCTATTAAAAACAAAAAAAAACACATTTATTATTGCAGGTAGTCTTTTAAAAAAAGCGCTTTTATTTTTTATTTATCAGGCCACTACTGCATGCATCCTTCGGGAACTGAATAGGTTTAAAGGATTAAAGGTCTTACTTTATAGGCTTAAAACTAAATTATGAAATAGCAAATTGCAATATTCCTGTGATAAAATATTTTAGAAGGTAGTTACAGAAATTGGTCGTAACGAACATTTAATATTTTTTTAACAATTTTCTTTTAAATTGTGTAAAGATAAGCGGTATAATTTCCTTTTCAAATTAGTACACTTAGAATTTCAATGTCTCCTTCAACTATTTAATCATAAAAGTTCAATGACAAAAAAACATCTAAAATCTGCTAAACAAATAAGTAAATTATTTTCCTACAAAACGGCTATGTATAAAAATAAATGCATCGATTCTGAATATCATTAAGTACCTAGGTACATTTTATTTAACTGTTTCCGTGTTTATTTTGCTATTCTGAAACAAGATAAAGATATTCTGGATGATTTTCTATAAACGGGTATACTCGTATTCTCAGAACTTTTTTATTTGTATGTGATGGTAGTCAACAAATACATACAATGTTGTACAAAAAATACCAGTAGGATCAATCTTGTGAGGGAGAGAGTGTGGTATCCTATAAAACTACATTTACGTAATTTTTTTATCAAATAAAACAATAAAAAACAGAAGAAGTGTTATTTCTTAATTAAAAAAAATACCATCTTAAAAAACACCTTTAACTTAAGACACATTGTTGTTATGTAAACAAAATAGTATTTTTTTTCGTAGGAATCGGAAAAAAAATTGATTGTATTCTTGGTTTAGGACTACTTTTCAAGGAAATACACAGTCACCACTCCGACTCTTCCTCCAGGTTTCGTCAACAGCGGTCAAGTCCACCATTTATTTTATCTCTGATAAAATTAAAGAGGGTCTTATTAGTCGACGGGTCTAACTGACCTGATGATGACGAAGATTTTTTTATTTTTTTATTACTTAGGTATATTGTTCATTGCATGTCACATTACCAATAGTGGTGATGAAAAGTGTAAAATCCTGTGAAGAAATACACTACAATCAATAAAACAGAAGAATTGTACCTAAAAATTAGCAGTGAAACTTCCTAGGCTTGTGTCAGACTCGTTTTTTGCTACGTGTGTTATTCGATTTTGGTGTCGGCGACGGGGCTGGGCTCTCGGAACCCGCCAGCCTCGAGGCTGGGCTTGAGCACGGTTTCGGAGAAGCTGCGCTCGATGAAGTTCATGGAGCGGTCGTTGCCGGGCGAGTGCCCGCAGTCCAGCCCAGCTGCGTCGGCGCTGGGGATGTATAAGCTGTATGTTTTCCTAGTAAATAAAATAAAAATAAATATAATAAACTTCAACAAAATAATGAGCTTAATTGCATTAGTGTGAACAAGAAGGGTTACTGAGTTACAGAGCCATTGTGGCGCGTGATGTGTGAGTTATTTAAAAGAATCCCAACGGCGCGACCGGTCAGTGTGAGTCCAGTAGTTACACGAACAAGACACAATGAAGTTATTAATTTGCTGTAAGTACATTACTTTTTTATATTTTTTAATATCCAGTTTTTAGTTTTTATAATCAAAATACAATAAATAATTTATTGTTGGGATTTTTTTTGCGTAAATTTGCATCGTAATTATCATGGTTTTCAATGTGATTGTGTAAATTGATATTTTCAACCGACTTCAAAAAAGGAGGAGGTTCTCAATTCGACTCGTATGTTTTTTTAATCATAATTTTATTGCTTGATTTCATGCAGTTTTCAACAATTCAAATCGTTTATTATTACCACACTTTGAATACTATATTTTAATGCATTTATAACCTTGAGTTTTATCACGCTACCGGCTTTTTATAGTATTTACGTTTACCCTCGATTTAGATATTGTTATTAAAAACCGGTACTTAAACGTAATCTTAACGGTATTTTAAATAATTTTCTTTACATTTCCCATGATAATTGTTCTAAAACTCACTATTTTTACTTTAAATCGAGTTTTTAAAGTTGTAATAATGATTGTCTTGACTACCTACATTATGACTACAACTCATATTGTAGTGCTGTAGTGTTTTGTTTTGTAATGCATAATAACGTTCCTAATTTGAAGTAATACGGCTACAGTCTATTAACAGCGTGTTGTACCTAGTTATACTACAGTATATTATTGTATATCGACTTACATCACACGTAGTGATACAAACTTGGGATTCCCTTTGTTTGTGAACCTGAGTCTCAAGGTGAGACCGGTTTTAACACAGCCATTGTATAGTCTGCTGTTTTTATGTAGATACAATCAATGATATTTTTAGTACCGACATTAATATAACAATTTTGAAAATGTGGGTAGTTTGATATTTTTTTGTAACCGCCAACGGCTCAGCGATTGTCGAGACTGCGGTTATTATAAAATTGTAAAAGCAAATAATTTACTTAAATTATTTATAGCATTTTGATAAAACTTTACAGCATTTTTTTTTAATTTGATTAAAATCTCGATTTTATCTAGATTATTTCGATTTGATCAAAATCAAATCAAAAATATCTTTATTCGTATAAATATTCTGACTAACCTCCAATTAAGATTAGTTCTTACATGTTGTCAAAAAATGCCCTTGGAGATGCCCTTACATGTCTCTTTTTTTTAAGTCCAATCAAATTCTCAGTCTTAGAAACAAAAACCAATGGGTCTTATCGATTGATTAATGCGAATGAATTAGCATAATCGTTAGCTTGCAAAAAAGTAATGACTGCGGGTAGGTATCAACAAAGATTTTTGATTTTATTTCCTGTTATTATGAACTAAACGAACCTAGCAACAGTGGAGCATCCAACATAAAAACACCGTATTAAATTCTGCGTCCAAACCAGTTCTAAATGTAAAAATAAATATTCATAATTTTATTTTTGTAACAGAAATGCATCTACCCGCTTTTACATTCTTGTATTGAGATCCAAAACTGTGCAAACTGTGCATCTAATTTGCACAATCGACACATTTATAACTTTTTTCTAAGAAGCAAAGTTGCAAGTCATCTAAGCTTTAAGCTAAATCGAGCTTTATTTCTATAAATCGATAAAAGCCAAAAACTTCAACTGTAATAATTACTTAAGCAGACAAACAAAAAATCCGAAACGAATTATTAGAATCATCAAATAAAAAACAATGTAGATAAACATTGACTTGACATTGACCTTAACCCGGCTCAGAAATTATAGTGGTAATAATAATATAAAAGGTGGGTAAACATTACATCACTTTCTTGTAACGTTCTTTTTTACATTTGATAACTACCTACACAAGCAAACACTCAAAGGCATTTTAATGTGTTTTCAATGGTAAGTGCAAAACCTTAAAAACCCGTTTCGCGTTGTCACGGCATCACGTGTGAACGGCTGAACCGATTTCGATAATTCTTTTTTTTAAATGTTTGTGGAAGTCCAAGGATGGTTCTTACGGAAAAAAATATTAAGAAAATCTCTACGCTAAGGCGGTACGAAGTTCGCCGGGTCAGCTAGTTTAAAATTTAATAATAATGTCTGATTGAATTACAACGTTTGTCTTGGTTTATTACTATTGGAATCAACACTTAAGATCACAAAAAATGAAGCCCAAACAGGTTTTTTTAAATAAAAGTTTTACTTCGGGATTTTTATTACATTTAATTTTTTGACAGATCGTAACAAAATGGTCAATTACAATTAATCGCTCCAATGTATCTCCACCATAAGGAGATGTGTTACGTGATTCGGGCTTAATCTTACTGACATAGTTTGCTTAACGATAACTTTTACAGATAAATGACTGGGTACTTAGTAACTAAAGTTTATAAAGTAAATAAGTTTTTGATACTCATAACAAGCAACTCGTGGAAAATTATGAGGAAAATGCAAAATCAGAGGCTGTCAATTTTTTATGGTATCCAACAAAAAATTGTAGGTATTACTCGTATGTATTGTACCTACCGTTTATTGTAAGGCTAAGACGTCTTTAAAAATATTGCATTTTAGAAGAACCAAGTATAACAACACACGGTCTCGAAAAGGTAGTAGAAAAACTAATCTGGAACCGGCCAATCTGGAAATCATTGGGGGAGGCCTATGTTCAGCAGTGGACGTTCTGTGGGTAAAATGATGATAATAATGATTTGTAGTCATGTCAAAGTCAGAGCTTTTATTCAGTACTAAGGCCCTTTCCAGAGCGCTTAATATACACTTAAATAGGTTGTTTATTGTATTTAACTGTACTTATTATTTATATTTCTGTTTCAGTATTGCCCCTTCTGGCCCAGGCCATGGCCGACGATGCCAGCACGCAGAAACTCCTCGTCGATGGAAACAACCAATTCACAGCTAAACTCTTTAGTGTGAGTATTAATTTTTCTTGTTCTTTTTACATTGCTTATTGGTCTGCAAAAATAAGTAGTTACCTACTACCTAACTACTTTTAACATTTTTTTTTCCAAACTATAGAAATTGTCGATTTAAAATAAAAAAAAACCTTTTATAGAACATTTTATCACTTTTCTTTGATACTATAATAACGAAATTAAACTCTTTTCTTTTTCAAGACATTTTTATTTCGAAAGTATACCTTAGTAGTTAGGTGCTTAAAAAGTTATTGCAATTTTAAAAGTGTGCTTATTTGGTTTTGCAGGCCTGTGTATTAGGTAATCTGTGGTATAGTGTAGCAAAGGAATAATTTTATTTATTGTAGGTATAGTTCGATTTTACAATATGAAAATTTTGTGAACATTTAATGAGCCCGCAGTGAGTGTGCGAGCGCGACAGCAACATAATTACGTAAACCAGTCGAAAAGTGGTCGAAAAGCCTCTTTTTTGTATGGATTTTTGACGGATTCGATTTTCGATTCGATCAAAAAGTGCGTTTTGTCTCATAAAATACTAAACTTTATTCTGATGAAATAGTCATCAGAAAACCTACGTCATTTGCCTATATTTTGTGTCTATACTGTGAAACTGTTTAATTGGCGTAATCTCTTGTTAACAAAATAACAACTAGCAAACAAGAGAAAGCTATGTAGCTCAAACTAGAGTTTATACGTAGCTCTTAAGCGGGTAAGGTATCTCTATTTTGAGTAGAGCTTAATAAAATAGTCTATTGCAAATACAAAACTAGAGAGCTTTGTATAACGTATATTTTGTGAGAACATAGACACACCTTAAGCTTCAACCACACCAACGCGTGCATCTCCATCGCCGGCGCGATCACGGCGCTATCATAGGCCAATGAGGGCTATCGTTTTAGCGCTCACCAGTTAGCGCCACTGTAGAGTAAGGTCCTGTCACTTGCTAGTAGCGAAGACAGTGGCACCAACTGGTGAGCGCGAAAGTGGTAAGAGGACTATCGTATTTCCACTTATCAAGATGGCGCCACTGTAGAGTAAGGTCCTGTCAATCGCCAGGGGTGCCAACTGTTAAGTATAAAAACGATAGCCCTCATTACACATCGCGCATCCCCTCGATCGGGCCCACTAGAGTGAGCCCGTCGTAGGCTGGACTTTGGTCCAACACCGCGGTGGGCAACCCTCTAGTTGGGTTCGCCACTGATCGGGCGCCTTATGCGCTCGATACGGCCCGATCGCGAACGTCGGTCTGCGACCGACGATCGCCAAACGGCTAGAGTACCTTCTGTACTCGCCACTCTGCCCGGTGAAGCTGGAAAAGCTCCTCAAGCTACCAGCGCGCGTCCCTTAAAAAAAAAACACATCGCGCAGACTGTCATGGGTCGCGCGACCTGTCATTGGCCTATGATCGCGCCGGCGACGGCGATCTGCACGCATTGATCTGGTTGAAGCTTTAGAGCCTCGTTCACTTGCATCTCTGAGTGAAGTGTCAAGTAGTCTACTTATTTCTTAAAGTCACGAGTAGCTACAAAACCATGACTGCCAACAAGACTGACGTTAAAATACTTCTTACTTTAACTTGCCAGATTGTGTTAATCAGGAAGTACTAACTACACTTTACTCGTGAAAGGGCCCTTAGTGTAGATATCCTTAGTACCTATATCTAATGATATACAGCTTTAAATATTGTGACGTCAATCGGAAAATAAAAAAGGCAAGACGTCATCAAAATAGAAAGGACGAAACGTCAAATGAAGAGCATTACGTCACGGAGTAAATTAAATTTCACAGCCATTGGAATGTGATTCCCTAATCCACTTCGGAACAGGAAAAGGGTTGGAAATATTTTGCGAGAGAATCTGGAATTAGCTTTTCACTTGGGGATTTGGTCGTTACAGTGGCAACGGGTACTTTTTATAAACGGTATTCTACTGTCGATGATAGAATATAAATAAACGCAATTCCACACGGCACATTTGATTGAACTTTTAATCCATGACGCAGTTAAACACTTAATAATATAACGTTAATGATAAACATTTGCAAATTAGGGAACCATGACGTGTGCTTACCATGAGGTTACGTTAGGTGTGCGAGTACCTACGCTACGTCAAAAAAAAATGAAGATTTTATTTCTTGAAAGTAGGCGCTGCACAGTCCAAGCGTTTTCAAGGCGAGAGTGAATAGGCACTTACAGGGCAGATATGTACCACTTTAGACTGCATCTCACTTAACACCAGGTGCGATTGCGGTCAAATACCTGACTTGTCTAGCATAAAAAAATGTCATACATTTAATATCATTTTTTTACGCAGTCGCTAGCGAGCACACCTAACGTAAACTCAAGGTAAGCACACTGAAGCCACATCTAGGCTATAAACATCAATCATGTCCAGGAGTAGACATCCTGCGGCTGAACTATGATGATAAAGTCTTGGTTATAAAGTGTTATTTAATAAAGCCAGCTAAAATACTGTTATTGATTTAAAATAAATTGATTTAAAATGAGTAGTTATTATAAAACAATCCATGTAAGCAAACTAAAAGCTTTGCTGGGGTGCAGCTACGCTTTGCACTACCTGACCTATAGAGCAAAAATCAATAGTTACCTACTAGACTAAGAGCTAGTGAACGCCAGACCTACGTTATTTTATAAAGGCTGAAAGGTTTGTCAGCGCATGCTCCCAACATAGCTAAGAATCATGGCCAAACATGAAGTTTGGGTCATGGTGGCTTTGGCAGACAGACGGTACTAAAGGTGTGTAAAATACCAACTTAATTACGTCAAAGTATAAAGGCTGATTTTTTGATATTTCCTTCAAAATGTTATTAGAAATGACGTCATTAATTGACAGACACCTACCATGGTGGCAGCCCTTAGCCAGACACCTTAAAGTTCATGAAAATGTAGTCCTACTTACGTCATACTATAAAAGCTGATATTTACATAAAATATTTGAACTATCATTTGATGAAGTTTCCTCATCAGCCAGACACTTCTGATGGTTCCTTCGCCTTGCCAGACAGCTTTTAGGGTGGCTGAAAGTGCGAACGCGAGGCACTATAAATATTGTTTTTTGTACTTTTTCTTAAGTTACTCAAGTATTTGAGTCTGTAAATCATCATCTCATGTTGATGAGCTGATGATGGAAGGTAAGTACAACTCCTTAAGGCTTAGGTAATCCCTAATTTTAAAGTGATTACCTCTGAAAGTTGCCTAGAGTAAAGTTCTTAGCAACATTATCATTACCTATGTTAATGCTAATGTTGCTAAGAACTTTACTCTAGGCGTTTAGCAACTATTTTGAAGATAAAATTTGTGGCACCACATTTTCCGCGTATATAAATTCTAGTGAGGATTTGGGGGTCCTAATTCAATATAGAATTGTTATAGTATTATTTGATATTATAAATTTGATTATACTGTGCATAGTAATAGATATATCGTGATGGTTTCGCTGGAAGGATACTCTGCAGCGCAACCACTTTCAATAACAAAATACGGCGAAACCTGTGACACATTTTTTTTAAATAGGACTTGAATTTAATAGACATTTCAAAGATTTATTTTAGAAACTTACACTAGACTAGTTAAATCAAAAGTAGTTCCGCCGGGGAGCATGACGTGAATTATCCTACAACTCCTAAGCGTTAAGGAGTTGTACCTTCTATCAACATGGGATGATGACTAGCTGATGCAAACAACCAAATAACTTTAGAAACTATACTTATATATACTGGTTAAAGAATTGTCCTCCAACTCCTAAGCCTTAAGGAGTTGTACTTACCTTCCATCATCAGCTCATCAACATGAGATGATGATTTACAGACTCAAATACTTAAATAACTTAAGAAAAAGTACAAAAATCAATAATTATAGTGCCTCGCGTTCGCACTTTCAGCCACCCTAAAAGCTGTCTGGCAAGGCGAAGGAACCATCAGAAGTGTCTGGCTGATGAGGAAACTTCATCAAATGATAGTTCAAATATTTTATGTAAATATCAGCTTTTATAGTATGACGTAAGTAGGACTACATTTTCATGAACTTTAAGGTGTCTGGCTAAGGGCTGCCACCATGGTAGGTGTCTGTCAATTAATGACGTCATTTCTAATAACATTTTGAAGGAAATATCAAAAAATCAGCCTTTATACTTTGACGTAATTAAGTTGGTATTTTACACACCTTCAGAACCGTCTGTCTGCCAAAGCCACCATGACCCAAACTTCATGTTTGGCCATGATTCTTAGCTATGTTGGGAGCATGCGCTGACAAACTTTCAGCCTTTATAAAATAACGTAGGTCTGGCGTTCACTAGCTCTTAGTCTATACAACAATATTGTGGAAATAACCATGGGGGCTTAACACGTTGCATGACTAATTATTCCGTGAACGAACAACGTGACAAAAAGTTGTCATGTCAACAACAACAACACCGACAACAGCTGTTATGTAATACTTAGAACACCACACAACACTTAGCACCTACTTAGTAAGCTATATTATATGTGACTTGGCGTGTGGACAACTCGCTTTGGATCCGATGGGCTCTGAAGCCTACTTTTACTCGTAAATAGCAATAGAATTAGAACATCCTTATTTTATTGCTATGTCTAATTACAATTTACTCGACAATTCGACGTAGAAATACACCTTTTAAAAGGGCTTTCTTTTCCACAACAAAAATAAAGCTATGTACACGCGTTCTTCAAGTTCCACGACTTGCTACTTAGCGTAAACGGCACTACATTGATCATTACCAAACTCTGGGTTGACTGTATGGGCTAGGATTTTTAAAATTAACATAGATGGTATAATACACGTTTATTTTGCATGCCGTCTTCTTGACATGCCAATATCTCGAACAGATACTTAACAGGAAAACAAATATTTTTTCCTCAACACACGGCACACGGCTGACCAGTTTCGGAATATGCTAAGGACTTATTTATACTACTAGCTTTCCGCCCGCGGCTTCGCCCGCGTGGAATTTTGTCTGTCACAGAAAAACTTTATCGCGCGCGTCCCTGTTTCAAAAACCGGGATAAAAACTATCCTATGTTCTTTCCCGGGACTCAAACTATCTCTATGCCAAATTTCATCAAAATCGGTTGCGAGGTTTAAGCGGGAAAGCGTAACAGACAGACAGACAGACAGACAGACAGACAGAGTTACTTTCGCATTTATAATATTAGTTGGGATTATTCTTAATGTTAATGAAGTATGATTTTTTTTTCAGGAGGTAGCTAAAAATAATGTCGGCAAAAGTGTGGTGATGTCGGGTTTCTCTGCCCTCTCCCCTCTGGCGCAGCTCGGCCTGGCTTCGGTGGGCGACTCACACGACGAAATCTTGAAGACCATTGGCATGCCTAATGATGAAGCTGTAAGTATAGTTCCATTATAAAAAAGATATTCCCACCAACTTCATTGTTCTCCATAAAAATAGATGGCCACTGGTGTAGCGAACTTTGGAAAAAAATTGCCAACAATAAAATTTTTAGTGGCTCGCAAAAAATCTGACGGAAGACAACTTTTTGTTTTGCTTGTGTGTGATGGGAGTCTGAAGCATTATCTACAATTAATCCAAATTGGATTTTGAAATGTGTTGGATTACGTAGTAAAAACAAAAGGCATACGCTAGACGTTACGAGTACAGTAGGAGGAAGGTAATTATTATGGAAAATAATATTTTCCCAGACGTTTGTGTCTGTGTTGTTAATAATTTAAAATGCCGTCATCATTTACAATGGTAATTTATTCATTTAGTCTCGACTACTTATAGGCGCACGACTCTTAATATACCAGAAGCAAATAGAGGATGAGGGATTGTCCTACACTCCCCAAGCTGAACTGTTGGTCAAATGGGTTGGGGAGGACATATGAAATAAACAATAATTATAGCAATTTCAAAGGGCACGTTACCATGTGCCCTGAAAATGATAATGACGATGATGATAGCAATTTCAACTTGGATTTTTTACCAACAGACTAAAGACGCGTTCACGCTTGTCAACGGCAACCTTCGCTCCGCCAAAGGCGTCGAGCTGAAGGTGGCCAACCGTATCTACATCCCGAACAATGGAGAGCTCAACGGCACCTTCGCTCAGATGTCCAGGGACGTATTCAGCTCTGACGTCAAGAATGTAGACTTCGCCAAGAACGTCGAGGCTGCTGCCGCTATCAACGCCTGGGTAATTAAAATTATCTGTCTAAGGGGGGATTCAATCAAACAAGAGTAAATAAACCTCAGAATAAATCGTCCGTTTTGACATATTTGGGTTGTGTAAAGGATAGGTTAGTGTAGTAGAACTAACCAAGAGATGGCGCCATTCCGTTTTACTTGTTGTATCATTAGATTTTCTGGGTGCTACAAGGATTTCAAATAATAAAAAAATTGCTTTAAACGCCGCGAAAGTTCATGAAGCCCATGCACCTCACGTTTTCGATGTCAGGAACAATATTAAGGCTCGAGTTGCACCACCTAACTTTGACCGTAACTATGACGATAACCGGTGTTTTTTGTATGGAGTTTAACAGATTTTTGACGTTTGTCAAAGTTAATGATGGTGCAATCCAGCCTTATAGTTACAATTTTTGATAATAAATAATGAAATTTGTTTTCCAGGTTGAAGATAACACTAACAAGCGCATCAAAGATTTAGTGAGTCCCGATTCCTTAGGCGAAGATACCAGAGCTGTTCTTGTTAACGCGATCTACTTCAAGGTGAATGAGCTTTTTTTGATTTATCTCTTAATGTTTCAAATATCCGTTATATCGTTGTATCGTGGTGACAATATGGCCTTTTAGTGTGTAAATTCACGGACAAAATAAAATAGATTCAAATTAATATACCTACATTTGGTACACTGTATTGTATCAGATCTTGTGTCCACAGTAACTTTAGAGATTTGAACCAAGGGCGCCGCAGCAACAGTACTAACAGTCCAACTACAACAGCAACAGTACTAAACAGAATTATCAATTATTCCAATAAAATTTAAGACAGTCACAATAAAATTCACTTCTGCTATGATAATTATCACACTGACATAATGTATGGTTAGGTTATGTATTTATTATCTAATACCCCAAATTCTCCAACAGGGCACCTGGGAGGAACAGTTCGACAAGGCTTTGACAAAAGACAAGGACTTCCACGTATCCAAGGACAAGACCATCCAAGTGCCCACCATGTTCAAGAATGGCAACTTCAAATACGGCACCAGCCAAGAACTTGACGCTCAGGTAAGTGTCACACCGCGCGTGTGCATGATTCCTAGCGAAGGTAGTTGTAGTTCATTAGATGTGATACTCTGATAACGTGTGGGCAAGCTTAGGACTTATTCCTGCCGCCACTTTTCGCCACCGATCTACCCGACAGCACTTCCACCCCCATCACTTAGATGGTTGGCAGTCCACAACAGTACGTTTCTCTAGAAACTTCCTGCCCCGTACAACAAACTGTGGAATGGACTGTCGTCTGCGGTGTTTCCGGACGGATACGACCTGCAAGCTTTCAAGATGAGAGCGTATCTTTACCTTAAAGGCCGGCAACGCACCTGTAACGCCCCTGGGTCTGCGGGTGTCTATGGGCGACGGTAATCACTTACCATCAGGTGATCCGTCTGCTCGTTTGCCTCCTGTCACATAAAAAAAAAGCTCCTTCGCTAGGTGGCCCGACGATCTGGTGAAGGTTGCTGAAAGAAACTGTATGTGGGCAGTCCAGTGGCCTAATTCACGTAGATCTCGCTAACGTTCCGAAGTCGTCCCATTGAAAAACAGATCTAAATCCGTGTTCACAAGGGTCATTTTGATAGAACGATTACTCGATAGGATCGCAACTCAATGTTTTGTTGTCGTTGAAGTTTTGTTACGGGAATAAGGCTACAGGACCAGTCGTTATGAAAATCCTTGGGGGAGGCCTTTGGCGACGTCGTTTGGCTGAAACGATCGAACCAACTCTGATAATGCTATTGTTAACGTTTTCACTAGTAACTGATGTCATACTTACTGGGACTCAACCTAAATTAATTTTACTACTTATTAGAATCGAGTTTATTTTACACGGTTAATTGATACATACAATATCTTACAATACGCTGTGTGTATTCTAGCTAGGTTTAGATTAGAAGCCATATCATCTGATTCGAGAGAATTAACTTGCAACGGAACATAAAAGCGTGTATCACCAAGCTTTTGTTTCCCAAAATTGAAATTGAAATAAAAATATGAAATATATTTACAGTTATTGGAGCTGTACTACGAAGGTGGTGACTCCGCGTTCCTCATCGTATTGCCCAACAAGGTTGATGGACTGGCAGAACTAGAAGAAAAAATTAAGGACCCATCAGCTTTGGCCAAAGCCGTAGAGAACATGTACAATACGGACGTTGACGTGTTTCTGCCAAAATTCAAGATTGAAACTACTATTGACTTGAAGGATGTTCTGCTAAAGGTGAGCATAACGTCATAAGGAGGTAGCGGCTATTCATCAGCAAAACTCAAAGAGTTCTCTTTATCTTTTATTTTTGCTAAATATTATTATCTTCATTTCCAGATTGGTGTAACAAAATTGTTTTCGCCTAAAGACGCCCGACTGGAGTACCTCTTGAAGGGTGAGGGAGACGGTTTGTATGTGAGCAACGCTATCCAGAAGGCGTTCATTGAAGTCAACGAGGAAGGCGCTGAGGCTGCCGCAGCTAGTGGTGAGTCCAACATTTTTAACTAATGAAGGTCATCTGGGAAGCTAGAAGAAACTTTATCTTAATAAATCTTCTGCGTTAATACAGAGATAGAGAGAAAGTATCTACTAGTCTGATGAGATTTCAACAAGATAGAAACTTAATTACAGTCACCATTGAAAAAAATGACGTGATTGTTAATTGAATTTGATAAAATACGTTGTCCTAGTGACATATATAGAAGGAATTCTCAAAATTCATTCATTTACGTACCTATCAGTTTCCATTACACAAAAATCATCTGATTATTTTTTTCCATCGATACAAATAAGCAATTCTATTTCTGCGTCTTAAATCCTTCGTCCACTACAGATTTTACATATGATTTGGCAAAACAGTGTACTGAATGCACTAATAACAATTTGAAACAATAACTTTTCTATTTATTCACAAATCATTTAATCATATTATCATATAGTAAACCTACGACAGGTTAAATCATCCATCCATGTCACTAGACATGACTAGGTGAAGTTTTTTTTATAAGTTCAAAAACCACCTTTTTAGAAGGCTAAATACGTCCTAGGTAAGACCTTATTTATTTACCGATCCGGATGTCACTTGATAAAATCTAGTCTATTTTTATGTTATTTTATTTTTATGCTAGTCCAGAATTTTAGTTTATAATTAGTTTCATTAATGTCAATGTTCCCGGTACCGATCTTTAGGTTTGTTGGTTTGGGTAACTTCTACGTTAATAGTACGAAGAAATTAAAGCTATAAAATATATTACATGGGACAAACAATTAAATCATCCAAATATTGCTTCTAATGATTCCAAAATTATAAATTGCAATTAGTTTATATATTTTTTGAGGTTTTCATTTTACCTATTTTAAACCGATGATGTCAAGGGGTAATAAAAATACGTGTCATTATAATATTTTGATTTCCACTGAGAATAATCTTCTATACATCCCGACCGCTATATTTTTTTACAGCCTTTAAAATAACTAAAAGGACAAAACCAATGCCAGCACACATATTTGAAGCAGATCGTCCCTTTTATTTTGTGCTCAGACATTTATGTATTGAATTATTTAGTGGAGAATTCAAGCTTTAGGTGATTTTTCCAAAGTAAGATAATAAAACGCCTAGAATATGTATTACGTTTGTTTGTTCAGCGGTTTGGGTTTAGGAATACCGTGTTCATGGAAAAATGATTTTATTTGTGGTTAATGTTGGTGTCATTAACACGGTTAAATAATTAGGTTGTGTAGCGTAGAAAATAATTAACATAATTGGAAATGGTGAAAATTATAAGTATTGTAACTTAAACGATATTTAATGTTTATAAATCTTTGGAATATACTTGAAATAGACAGATTTTTCAATATTCTTATAACATACTTTTTCAATAAAACCACTGAAATACATTCGTTAAGTATGTCATAGTCGAAAGAGACTAATAATATTATGACGGTGCAATTACACTTACAAAACGTCATTTTATTTAGATTCGTCAAAGTAACCATTGAAAATAGGAGGCCTTTCTATCAAATCATTAAATTTTAACAAATATTCAGTTCTAATTGTACTTTTTTGTATCTTTACAGAATTTACGGTATATTTCCGCTCCGGGCGCGTCGTTCCTAAACGTATAACTTTTAACGCAGACCGACCCTTTTATTATAAATTAAGATATAATTCGGTAAACCTATTTAGCGGTCTATACAAGCCTTAAAAGTTTCAAATAAAAATAAATTGAACATAAATACCTATAGTATTACATAATTAATATAATATAAACTAACCAAAACATGACAATCTTATAAAAAAATATAATGTATTTTGCTAACGCTAAGTGACGTCTGATGTTTCTTAAAAACACCAAAGTTATTGTAAATAAAATAAGTATGGCATCATTGTAATTTATTGTTATATTAAGTGTTTTTTATTGTTTCTTATTTTTTTTACATTATTACACGCATAAGATTTCATTGTGTTGTTTTTTTATTTTAACAAAGGCCTCCTATTTATAAAAAAATGTTGAACATCATACATGATTATTTATTAATCTTTATTGGTGTAGGTATAAAAAAATATTAATTAATATTATGATTTGCATTTATATTCAACTATTCTTTAGGTAGGTTATTATAATCAAAAGAGAAGTTTTTCACAATTTATTTCTTTTATCATGTTGTTTTTGATTGCAGAAGATACTTCGAGGATAGTAGGAGGCATTTCAACAAATTTAAGATTTGTTGCAAATAGACCATTTTACTTCTCTTTAAACAAAAACGCCGTGTCTGTATTTACGGGAGTCTTTGTTCAACCGTTTTAAATGTAACCATTTTTTTATTATTATTTTTTTTACTTCAACATGCTTCATAGCAATAAACCTCTCTTTCAGTAGAATCTTCTAAACACAAAAAAATACATACACATTTTGGTTTTAGTAACTTTCTGCACTAAAAATTGTTTTTTTTTTAATCTTCCGAGTATAATAATAAAAGAACACTTATTATTCCTTAAATTGCTTGTGCTAGAAAAACTACTGGGCATGGTTTTATCCTGATATATTTTTTCAATTGCAGGATTTTTTGATAGAATTTTAGGTGGCATTCCAGAAAAGACTCAATTTGTTGCCAATAGACTAACTATTCTTTGAACCGTATCTGTATTTACGGGAGTCTTTGTGCAGCCTTTTTTAGATATAGCCACTTTTCAAACTTTACAACTAAAGCAAACTATCTTTCAATTTCTTAAAATACAAGGCCTATAAATAAAAAAAATATTCATTTTATTTTTATTTTTAAATTAGGTTTAGTTTAGGTTAATTAAGTAGTTAACTTTAAATATTAATATGTAATATTTCTTTAAAAAAAATTACCAACTCCCTATGTTTAAATTAATAAATAGACCCAAATCAAATCCATCCTGACAAACCCACTTACTTTCCAAATACATAATAAATCATAATAATCATTTTTTATTTATTTATGTATTATGATACAATTTATTATTTCTTTCCATTTACAGGTTATGTAAGCCTTATTGTAGGTGGTATTCCAGATAAAGAAAAGTTTATTGCAAATAGGCCATTTTACTTCCGTTTAAACCACAAGAGTTTATCTGTTTTCACGGGAGTCGTTGTTCAACCATTTTAGATGACATGTAACAATTAGTTTTGACATTTTCTTAATTTTAATGTATCATTCAATATGTCTCTAAAATACCTACTAAAACATTTTTTACTAACTTCTTAACTTTTAATTATTATGTAGACCCAACCAAAATTGTTCGATACACTTTTTTAAACTTAGAATATAATAATCAAAATATAATTAATACTTTTCCCAATTTCCTTACATAAATAATATCAAAGTATCTATACTAATGTTATTAACTAATCAATTACAAATTAACAATTTAATTTTCCTAAATAATACTGTCGCTTACGCCCTCGCATCCGTTGAAATGTACCTGCTTATAAAATATAAGTTTATTGTTTTTTTGCATTTATTTTGTTTTTTTTTTATTGATCACAGTGCTGGAGATTTTTCACTATATAGTAATTAATTCTTAACACTTATATTAATTTCACATTTTTAATAAAAATACATGAAGTTTACCACCTAATGTAATATTTATTGAAGTAGATTATGCGTGTAAACAATAATAAATACATCTTTTTTTAATGCCTGGCTGTATAGAAAAGCCTCATATAAATCGATCCATTCAACTTTTTACTTGTCAAATTATACACACGTTTTTAATTTCTTTAATTTCAGAATTTGGTATTGTATTGATGAGCCTTCCACGAAGATTTCATGCCAATAAGCCGTTTTACTTTGAATTGAGATCCAATAACGTTGCTCTATTCAACGGCGCAGTTAAGCAACCTAGCTTATAAATAAAATTAAAAAATCGTCGTAAAATAGTCAACAGAACATAGTCCGTAAATATCAGATTTTTATTTTTGTGGGATTTTCCAAACGGGATTACTGAGAATTGCATAGGGATTGGAGTCGCTTTTCAGCATGCCCTTATTTTGAACTACACCGATGTTCACACCACACATCAGAGAGCAGAAATAACAGGAGTGGAACTGACAGGCAATCCCCTCTAGCAATGTAAGTAGACCAGTGGTTCACTCAGTTTATAAAAACTAGTTGCAGCGCCACCAATGACATATTCCAAATGTCACTATTGAAGAGTAACGTGCTGCGATAAAAATGGTGAATTGCAGTGTTTTTAATTGTAAGAAGAGATCTGAAACATCAAATCTTGAAAAGGACAACATTACATTCCATCGGTAAATATTATTTTATTTATTTCACATTAATTAATACACTAAATTTGCAAAAAACTAAATTTCTAGAAGTGTTGCCACTGGAATGACTGGAAAGCAAAAATTCCTAATTGTGTAATATTTTAAGGATAGTGTACTTATAACAATATAATCGAAATTCTATGCAAACAATTTGATACTGCCAATAGGTGTTCTCTTTTATGATATTTGTTAGTATTAATACATTATTAATAATCACTGATAAATGTAAATTCATTTATTACTTTTACCTCGACTGTCGGGAATTATTCATAATAACCGGCGATTATTAATAATTTTCAATTTATCACATTTACCCTGACATAATAAACGTGTTAAGTAAGTTCCCGCTATTTTACAGATTTCCAAAAGATCCAACTACTCGCAATATCTGGATCTTATTATATACTATAATAATAAATAATATTTGTATTTTTCACCATTTTTCTCTATCTGTTCAAGTCATGTGTATAATGTAAGTACTTATTATAATAAAAATGTGTAGGAATATTTTTGTTAACCTTCGAAACAAGGCTTTTAATAGTTTCTTGCTCTGTAAATAAAAATTGAAATTAAGTTTTTCAGTTTTTCTCACTTTCCTTTTTTGCCAGTCTGGAAAATTTATTTATTTATTTATCTAATGAGGCATACCAACAACATTACATACAAAGTAATTATATGAAAATCT